GAAGAAGGTTATTGGTATTTTTATTCAGATTATATTGAGTCTGTAAATTGTTTTTGGTGGTATGGACATTTTGATGATACTAATTCTTCCAATCCATGAATATGGAAGGTTTTTCCATTTTTTGTGTTTTCTTTTGTTTCTTTCCTTAATGTTTTGTAACTTTCATCAAGAGATCTTTGATCTCCTTGGTTAAATGCATTCCAAGGCTTTTAATTTTTCCTATAGCTATTTTGAATGAGATTGATCTTAGAAGTTCTTTCTCAATGATGGCATTTTATGTGTATACAAAAGCTATTGAATTCTGTGTGTTACTTTTATAACTTGCCACTTTACCAAACTCTTATGACTTCTAATCTTCTCTTGATTTCCTATATATTGAACTCTGTCATCTACAAAGACGGATAATTTGACTTCTTCCTTTCCAATTTGTATTCCTTTGATTTCTTTTTCTTGCCTAATGGTGCTGGCTAAAATTTCCAGGACTCTATTGAATAGCAATGGTAAAAGTGGGCATCTTGTTTGGTTCCAGATCTTAGTGAAAATGCTGCCATTGAATTCCCCATTCCATAATATGGTGGCTGTGAGTTTGCCATAAAATGGCTTGAATGGGTTGAGGAATTTTCCTTCTATACCCAATTTGCTTAACGTTTTCATCATAAAAGGATGTTGTATTTTATCAAATTCTTTCTCTGTATCTATTGAGATAAAAATACAGTTTTCATTCTTCAGTTTGTTAATATGATGTATCACATTTATTGATTTGTGAAAGTTGAAACATTCCTGCTCACCAGGGATAAATCGTACTTGGTCTGGGTGAATGATTTTTCTGAAGTGTTGTTGGATTCTATTAGCTAGTATTTTGTTGAGGATTTTTGCATTTATGTTCATCAGGGATACTGCTGTAAGGTTCTTTGTGTGTTGTATCATTTTCTGATTTAGGAATTAAAGTAATGCTTGAGAAGAACTGGAATTAGTTCTTCTTTAAAAGTCTGGTGGAATTCAGCAGTAAAGCCATCCAGATCTGGGCTTTTCTCTGACAGAAGTGTCCTTATTAATGATTCAATCTCTATCTTGGTTATTGGTTTGTTTAGCTTTTCTATAGCTTCCTTACTCAATTTTCATAGATTGTATGTGTTCAGGAATCTATTTGTTTCTTTTAGATTTTCCAAATCGTTGGCATTTAGCTTTTTGAAGTAGTTCCTGGTAATTCTTTTTATTACTATTGTATCCATTTTTACATTTCCTTTCTCATTTATGATTTTACTAATTTGAGTCTTCTCCCTCCTTTTTCTTCAGTTAGTTGATGAATGGTGTTTCAATTTTTTTTAAAAAAAGTAAGTCTTCATTTCATTGGTCTGTCATATATGTTTTTTTGTTTCAATTGTTTATTTCTTCTCTAATTTTGAGTATTTCTTTCTCCTAATGATTTTAGAAATTAAGAACTCAAGAATCCCTAGAACATATGCAAACAAATGGAAACCAAACAACATGGTCCTGAAGGAACAGTGGTTCATAGAAAAAGTAAAAAGGGAAATCAAAAAAAAATTCTGGAAACAAATGATGACAATATAACATATCAAAACTTGACACTGTGGCAAAAAATGACCTAAATGAAAGATCTCTGTGAGTGAGATCCCAGCAGAAAGAACGGGCCATCAAAGAAGGAGGTACCTTTCTCTGAAAGGAGGAGAGAACTTCCACTTTGACTATGGCCTTGTCTAAAGAAGATCAGAGTTGGTGAACTCAAGAGGCTTCCATAGCCTTGGCAACTCATGACAAGAGCCTCGGGTGATTACTGACGCCATAAACAAGAGTGTCAATTGTTAAGTCAACAACAGGAGTCACTGTGCACTTACTCCCCATGTAGGATCTCTGTCCTTTATGTGTTGTACTATGTGAATTAACGGTATTACTAGTACTCAAACAGTACTCTATACTTTGTGTGTCTGTGTGGTTCAAACTGTTGAAATCTTTACTTAGTATATACTAAGTTGACATTCTTTACGTAAAGGTAATTGAAAATGAATCTTGATGAAGAATGGGATGGGAGAGAAAGTGGGAGATGGGATGGTTGCCAGTGGGAGGGAGGTTATGGGTGGAAAAAGCTGCTATAATCCAATAGTTGTACTTTGGAAATTTATATTTATTAAAGTTAAAAAATAAAAAAAAAAACTTATGGGATATAGTGAAAGCACTGTTAAGAGGGAAGTTTATAGCGATTGGTTCCTATATCAAGAAATTGGAAAGGCACCAAATAAATGAGCTATCAATGCATCTCAAGGACCTCCAATGTATTCTTAGCTCTCCCATTTTGTCTTACTCAGCTACCATTGCTCAAGATTCTGAACTGCTCTGTGTCTAAATATAGAACCTTAAAAGTTACAGTATTATACATCCTTGCCCTACAATATTCAGTATTTGTAGTTGATATTTCATCTTCATATTCGAAGATCTGCATTTCCTTACATAATGATCACATTATAATCTAAAAAATTTCAAAATGAAGTCCCGCGGGCCGGCACCATGGCTCATTAGGCTAATCTTCCACCTGCGGTACCAGCACCATGGGTTCTAGTCCCGGTTGGGGCGCCGGATTCTGTCCCGGTTTCTCCTCTTCCAGTCCAGCTCTTGCTGTGGCCCAGGAGTGCAGTGGAGGATGGCCCAAGTCCTTGGGCCCTGCGCCCCTATGGGAGACCAGGGAAGCACCTGGCTCCTGGCTTTGGATCGGCGCAGCACGCCAGCCGTAACGCGCCAGTGGTAACAGCCACTTAGGGGGTGAACCAAGGTAAAAAGGGAGACCTTTCTCTCTGTCTCTCTCTCTGTCTAACCCTGCCTGTCAAAAAAAAAAAAAAAATGAAGTCCCTCTGGTACTCTTTTACTTCCTCTTTACCTCACTCTCAGGAACACAGGCACTGCTGAATACTACTATATAAATCGATTCTCAGGAATAGTTAGCCACAGGTTGCTCCAATAAACAGCTCTTCTCAAGTCAACGAAGTAACCACATGCCCTCAGCAAGCAGACATTCTTAGCATCATGATTCGTACATAATCCCTCTGTACCAATGGCTAGCAATGTCCCTCCTGAATTCAGTATGCCCATTGATTGCTTTTCTGACCCACAGAGCCTCCCTCCTTCTTAGCATACCCATTCACTAGAGAAGCCGAGTCTAGTAACTGACAACATGAAGCAACATAGGCAGGACTCCAGACAATATTGTTTTGCCAAAAGTTGATAAAAGTCCAGCTTGATGCTTTCATCTCAAGCCCCTGTATTAGTATAATTGTGGCGATATATTATCAAAAACCACTGTCGTTCGGTTCACAGGAACACTGGATTTCATAATTGACTAGACCTGCTATCAATACCTTAGATCCACTGTCAGTGCACATACCAAAGAGGAAAGTTATTTTCAACAAAATATATGGTGGCTTTGAAAGCAAACTGCTAAGCTCAGTCATGCTCTTCATGGAGAAGCCAAATCAAATATGTTTGTTTTAAAATCGTTTGTGTTTCTAAACACATTTTCTTTTTCTTTCTTTTTTTTTTTTTATTTGACAAGTAGAGTTATAGACAGTGATAGAAGAGACAAAGAAAAAGGTCTTCCTTCCATTTGTTCACTGCGCTAATCCGAAGCCAGGAGCCAGGTGCTTCCTCCTGGTCTCCCATGTGGGTGCAGGGACCCAAGCACTTGGGCCGTCCTCCACTGCCTTCCTGGGCCACAGCAGAGAGCTGGACTGGAAGACGGGCAACCGGGACAGAACCCGGCGTCCATATGGGATGCTGGTGCTGCAGGCAGAGGATTAACCAAGAGAGCCACAGCGCCATCCCCTCTAAACACATTTTCTGTACCACTTCCCAGTTCAGGTGGACAGGACCAGCCCTCAGCAAAATTATTAACAATTTTGTTGAAAAATCTAATCTCTTCTTTTGATCAATCCCCAAGGACAAATAGGATTCCTTTTTAATTTGCTGTAAGCTGCAAGCAGATCCTACAATGTTACAGTTTTGTACTCTGCAAAGAAAATATATGACTTTAGTTGATAGACTCAGTAACTTCTATTCTGGGTGCTCAGAGGCTGATTTTTACTTATTGGATTGATATTTTCAAAATCTGAGATTCTGGAATGAGTGGGCTGTTGAAGCTGATGAGTACGTTGTCATTGCCCAAGCAGTTGTTCATTCATCTCCATAAATCTACGATGTTTGTCATGAACCATAAACATGCAAACAACAAACTCTCCACCTATCCTAATTCACACAGGTCCTACTTCAGCATGGATCAGATAGCTAGTACACACTTAATGCCAAGTAAAAGAAATAAAAGATTTAAAAAAACACCTCAAGTTTGAACTGAAAAAAAAAATCCATGTCTTCCCATTTGGCAGAGTCCTATGAGAGCAAAAACATTGACTCATTCTTCTTTAGATCCCCAACATTGAATAAAACTCACTCCCCTAATCAATTAATTTGAACAATGAATAAATATGTAAAGACATTTTTAACCCAGTAAAAATACAGTGCAGCATGATGTACCGTCTGTGAGTCCAGTTTCCTCATCCATAAACTGAATATAATAATACCTATCCCATAGGGTAACGGTTAAGAGTAGCCAAAACAACACATTCTGACCCAAGATTCAGCCCATAGAGGGTACTCTGGGGCTGTGTGCTGAACTAGAATCTCAGAAACTGCTAAGTGAGTTAATAGTCAAGGAAAGAGCACATGTTCTACCTATTCAAGAATCTATTTGGACCAGAGCAACCTGCTATAAAAGGGGAGGTGAACTTTGCTGATGGAGAACATTTATAGACAATCTTCATTCCCAGATATGTAAACCACATCTAGAACAGCAAAGGATTTTGGCAACAGCAACTTGCCACAGTCGATTGTTAAATCTGTATACTAGCCTCCATAACCCCATGCTAATGAGCTATGAGACATCAACTCACTTAGGGATACTAGGGAGAACAGCTGAAATTCAAAACTGTAAACCCTACCTTGGACCAGCATCTCCCAACCCGTATGGCTGAGAGGCCATTTCAATAAATCCACATAGCCAGCTTTCTATTGGAGTATTCAAGACTCTTCTGTTTCTCGTTTCTTCTTTTAGGTAAAATTTTATTTTAACTGATTCATTTGAACCTGCATCAGGGAAGTGGAAAAGTTAGATAAGGAAAAGTATATCAAAGTTATTATTTGCTAGCTATAGAAATGAATTTAATAAGGGCAGGAAAAATCATCAAAACTGTGATTTTTAAACCATCATTATTGCCTAGTACAGTGGCAAATTGAGAGTGATTAGGAATATTATTCTCAGCTAACAAAAAATACCAAGTGTGCTTTTATCCAAATTAATTAGACAATAAATTTAGAGTGTTCTTTCCTTTTTGATAAAAGAACCTGAGCCCAGGGTTCATGAAATTTAAAGGTCTTGAGCAAAGCAACAGCAAGGAAAACAGATAAATCCAACTTCATAGGTCTCCTTCACCATGAGAAAATGTTACGGTGGTGGAGCTAATAATGAGATTTATTAAATTTTCCAAGTTGACACACTGTGCCTCTCATTTACCACAACAAAAGAGCACTCTGTGTCCTTGATTTGAGGTCTTGTTTTGGATTGTTTTGGGTGGATAAACACATCTCCTGCTCTAAAGAAGGACATCATGTGCTCTCGGAGACATTCACTGCCTCACCACTGAAGTGACAGAACATTCCATTGCCCTTACTGGTATTCATGCAGAAGCTTTGTTTGCGGCCAATCAACTTATTTCTCATGTTGGATACTATCATGGTGTTCTACCACTCAATGCAATTCTTTCAGAGTTCCAGGAATTGTCCTCAATGTGATGCCTTAAGAGCAATAGAAAAATAGCCTTGTTTTTGCATGACTTCTTTTTATTTTAGAGCCACAAAAACAAACTATGGACATCAAAGAATAATTTTTTAAAAACTCAGCAAAACCCTCCCATTTGAAGCTGTTAGTACCAACTGAAACTTTCAAAGAAAATAAATCAGAAATAGTGGGGTGAACAGTGAGTTGGGGTATTTTTATCATAGCTATAAAATAAAATAAAAAACTCTGGGCTAAACAAAAAAATCAGAAACTTCATATAACCACATTACTGATCCCCTATAGTCACTCTTGGGCTCCAAAAATGTTGAGTTGACCTTCTTTGTAGGCAAAGTGCATGACTGCTTAATGATGTGGTTTGAGGAGACCTGGGAGCCTCTGTATCCCCCTAAATATTCACCTTGTCTATTTCATTGCCCTAAGTTTCTGATGTGAAGGCTTTAGTCCTTGTGGCTAAGATGTTTGGCTTGTTAACTTGGTGATCCTCCTGAAATATATAAACATTAGGACATTATCCCTTTTCCCTTTTTAAAAAATATATTTATTTGAGAGGGAGTTGTAGAGAGTAAAGAGAAAGAAAGACAGACAAACAGAGAGGGAGAGAAAGAGAGAGAATGAAACAGGCTTCCCATCTACTGGTTCATTCCTCAAATGCTGGCAACAGCTGGGGCTGGATCAAAGTCTGGGTATAGCACTTACTATTAGGCTCTCTGAAAACTTTAATTGGCCAAATAAAAAAACCCAGAAGCAAAAACCAAAGAGCAACAATAAAAACAACAAACAGCAAAAAAACCCTACTTAGAAGAGAAGTACTCACTACTACTCAGTATTAAGAGGTACAAAGAACCACCCTAAACAGCAAAGCCACTCCTTAGTATATCAGACAGATATCATAAGCAGAGACTCAAACATATTTCTGTCATTTTCTAGCTTGTTACCTTGGCAAGTTGAATAAATTTTCAATGATGTAATTCCCTTAATTCTAAAATGGAGATAAATCTCTCCCTCATAATGGTGAAAGTGATCATATGAGTTCTGTATAAAGCATGTAAGCCTACCCTGTGCCACACCATGTCAGTAACCAGTGCATACCAGGATTTATAAATAGTATTAGTGTACATTATGTTCAGAACTGTGAGTTGTCACATTCAGTTCACGTTTTATTGGTTTGCACAATAACGACCAGTTGCTCAATACTGATGAACTAACGCAGCATTGAGTTTTCCAAACCCTGACAAAGGAAGGAACAAGAGAAGATGAGAAATGAAAATAAACAAAAAAGTATGTGATATCAAAGTAGATTTCAAATATCAAATTAATTATCAGTAATTGGTGAACGTTATGGTACAGTAGGTTAAGCCACTGTTTGCGATGCCAGCATAAAACATTGGAACAACTGTTCAAGCCCTGGGGCTCCACTTACAACACAGCTCCAAGATATTTTACCTTCCAATGTAGTAGAAAATGGCCCAAGTATGTGGGCCCCTACCACCCACATTGGAGACCCTGATGGAGTTCCTGGCTCCCAGCTTTGGCCTCTTCCAGACTTAGCCATTGCAGCCATTTGGGGGGAACATGTGGATAGAAGATCTCTTTCTGTCACTTTGCCATTTATATAAATAAAATGAATCTTTAAGGCAAACAAAAGAGCTGTCTGCTCTTCAATGTTTATTGCAGCTCAATTCACAATAGCTAAGACATGGAATCAACCTAATGCCCATCAGCAGTAGACTGGATAAAGAAATTATGGGATATGTACTCTATAGAATACTATACAGCAGTCAAAAACAATGAAATCCGGTCATTTGCAACAAAATGGAGGAATCTGGAAAACATCATGCTGAGTGAAATAAGCCAGTCCCAGAGGGACAAATACCATATGTTCTCCCTGATCGGTGACAACTAACCAAGCACCAAAAAGGAAACCTGTTGAAGTGAAACGGACACTATGAGAAACAATGTCTTGATCAGCTCCTTGTCCTGACTGTCAAGGAACAACTTACTATTTTATTCCTTTCAGTATTTTTGTTCTAATTAATACTATTAGTTGAACTCTTTAATTAGCACACAATTATTCTCCTTTCAGTATTTTTGTTCTAATTAATACTATTAGTTGAACTCTTTAATTAGCACACAATTATTCTTAGGTGTTTAAAATTAATTGAACAGTGATCCCTGTTAAATATAAGAGTAGGAATAAGAGAGGGAAGAGATGTACAGTTCAGCACATGCTCAATCGGACTTATTCCTAATGGTAGAGCTAGAAATGTGCCAGGGCATTCCAATCCAATCCTATCAAGGTGGCATGTACCAAGGCCATCTCACTAGTCAAAGTGCTCAGTTTCAGTTCATATTTGATCATAATGATAGGATTAAGAGTCAAAGGGATCACATAAACGAACTAGTGTCTCCTAATACTAACTGATAGAGTTAAAAAGGAGAGAATGATCCTACAAGGGAAGCAGGATACACAGCAGACTCATAGAATGGCAAATGCCCTAAAACAGCACTCTGGCTTCAGAATCAGCACTTAAGGCATTCAGATCTGGCTAAAAAGCCCATGAGAGTATTTCAGGCATAGAAAGCCAAGACACTGTGGTTAAAAAAAATGACCTAAATGAAAGATCTCTGTGAGTGAGATCCCAGCAGAAAGAATGGGCCATCAAAGAAGGAGGTACCTTTCTCTGAAAGGAGGAGAGAACTTCCACTTTGACTATGGCCTTGTCTAAATAAGATCAGAGGTGGTGAACTCAAGAGGCTTCCATAGCCTTGGCAACTCATGACAAGAGCCTCGGGTGATTACTGACGCCATAAACAAGAGTGTCAATTGTTAAGCCAACAACAGGAGTCACTGTGCACTTACTCCCCATGTAGGATCTCTGTCCTTTATGTGTTGTACTATGTGAATTAACGGTATTACTAGTACTCAAACAGTACTCTATACTTTGTGTGTCTGTGTGGTTCAAACTGTTGAAATCTTTACTTAGTATATACTAAGTTGACATTCTTTACGTAAAGGTAATTGAAAATGAATCTTGATGAAGAATGGGATGGGAGAGAGAGTGGGAGATGGGATGGTTGCCAGTGGGAGGGAGGTTATGGGTGGAAAAAGCCTCTATAATTCAAAAGTTGTACTTTGGAAATTTATATTCATTAAATAAAATTTGAAAAAAAAATTTTAATTATCAGTAATTTCCCATTATAGAAATGTAAAATTCCAAGAGTTTAGTATATTTTCTGAAGACAACAAGAACATCTAACTTAAGGATATAAACTAGAAAGTAGAATTTGAGGTCTGCTGTCCTTTTGCTGAAGTTCTCACCAAGAACAGACAGAATAACACTCTGTTTAATATGACAATATTTGGGTACTTGCCTTGAGCAAATTTTTTACGTTAAATCATGTGCACCCATTGACAGGCTTCCTAAAGACTGGGAAACAGAGAACAGACAAATTCTGGGAGCAATTACACCAGCAACTGACCATGTAAGGAAGCACTGCTGACGAACTTGGCCTAACTTTCCTTCACTGATTCTTCACTTTTTAGAAGGAATGAGAAATGTATGCAAAGCTCTTCAATCTGCCCAATCAGGAAGCCTCAGTCCACCTAGGCTTTTTCGTCCACTCAGGTTAGCTGTTTCGATGTATGTGGGGCAGCAGAGTGGGTTAGGGTGTTGAACATTCATGAGATAACATTCATGACATAAAAATTAAGTAGACTACCTTCCAAAAATAGCTCCTCAAAATTCTGCAGTGGTCTTAAAACACCCATCATCTACTCAGCTTTGGAAGAATCTTCTTAAGAAAAGTCAGAGTATGAGAGTAGGTGGTAAATACATATACAATAATAAATATTTTAAATGACTACGTGAGAAAGCAACATATTTTGTGTCTACAGAAAAATAAGACAATAAGGAAGGATATTAGTTGTCCCAAGACCCAATTCACTCCTCTTTCCTGTGCACCTGGCCAAGAATATACACAATGTATTCCCCAGTCTCCTGGGTCAATACTAGATGTGAACATACAGCCAAATTTGGACCAACTTCTGTGATGTGCACCACTTTCAAGTCACTTCTAACCTAAAGACAAACTACCTTCTTGGTCTTTGACTTTTCTTTTCCCCATGGGACTTTGACATGAAGGTGGCTCAGCTTCAACCATGCGGATGAGGACCATGCTCTAGGGACTGGGCAGAACTACAGTTAGAAGAAATCTGCATCCCTGAATGTCCTTATGGAGCAGAGCTGCCTACAAACTTAGACCAACCTAACTATGATGGGAGGTTGAGATAAACTAATATTTTTTAAAGATTTTGAAAGTCAGTTACAAAGAGAGAAGTAGAGATTTTATATATATATATATATATATATAGAGAGAGAGAGAGAGAGAATCTTCCATCTGCTGGTTCACTCCCCAGATGGCTGCACCAGCCAGGGCTGGGCCAGGCCAATGCCAGGAGCCAGTAGCTTCATCTAGGTCTCTCATTGGGTGGAAGGGGCCCAAACACTTAGGCCATCTTCTGTTGCTATTCCCAGACCATTAGCAGGGAGCTGAATTGGAAGTGGAGCAGCCAAGACAAGAACTGGCACTTGGGCGGAGCCAAGATGGCGGAATAGTGAGGGCTCACACCAATAGTCCGGGAAAATTTAGTTTAATAAAAGGGGAGTTACGGTAGCCTCAGAAAAAAGAACCAGGAAAATATTGCAGAGGAAACTCTTCTGGATTGAGTGGCTGTGAATCGGAGGACCTACTGGGAGAACAAGGTCGCCCACCGCGCGGAAGCCGAGCCGTGGGAGCCGCGGGTGCCGCGGAAGCCGCAGGGTCTGCGCGCCAGTGCAGGAAGGGGAGTGCATGTCACACAGACAACAGCGGGGAGAGTTGCAACGTCCAGGGCTCCGAGTCCACACATCGGCGCTGGAAGGGGAGGAAGAACCAAGCAGAGCTCTCAGGCCGCACCCATCTCAAGCCTCCAAGGCTCCTCCAACAGCAGGCAGTCCACTTAACACCAACATAGTATAAAATAAAAAAAAAAAAATTAAAAAAAAAAAAACGCACAGTGACGAAAGAAGAATTAACTATGCCAAGCAACAAACACAGAAATCGAGGGAACAAGATCAACGATGACACTATGATGCCTCCAAATAAACAAAACACCCCAAACCAAGATTATGAAGATGATGAGATAGAAGAAATACAAGATACGGATTTCAAAAAATTTATGATAAGAACATTTAGAAGTTTTCAAAAGCAAATCCTTGAACTACAGAAATCCTTATTGGACAGGATTGAAAATCTCTCTCGTGAAAATGAAATTTTAAGGAAGAATCAAAATGAAACTCAGAAACTAGTAGAACAGGAAAGTGTGATAGTGAAGAGAAATCAAAATGAAATGAAGAGCTCAATAGATCAAATGACAAACACATTAGAAAGCCTTAAAAACAGAATGGGTGAAGCAGAAGAGAGAATATCGGACTTAGAAGATAGAGCACAGGAAAACATACAGTCAAACCAAAGAAAAGAAGAGGAAATTAGAAATCTAAAAAATATTGTTGGGAATCTACAGGATACTATTAAAAAAACCAACATTCGAGTTCTAGGAGTTCCTGAAGGCATGGAGAGAGAGAAAGAATTAGAAGGCCATTTTAGTGAGATACTAGCAGAGAACTTTCCAGGTTTGGAGAAGGACAGGGACATCCTAGTACAGGAAGCTCATAGAACCCCCAATAAACATGACCAAAAGAGATCCTCACCACGACACGTGGTAATTAAACTTACCACAGTGAAACATAAAGAAAAGATCCTAAAATGTGCAAGAGAGAAACGTCAGATTACTCTCAGAGGATCTCCAATCAGACTCACAGCTGACTTCTCATCAGAAACACTACAGGCTAGGAGGGAATGGCGAGACATAGCACGGGTGCTAAGAGAGAAAAATTGCCAGCCCAGAATATTATATCCTGCCAAGCTCTCATTTGTGAATGAAGGTGAAATAAAGACCTTTCATAGCAAACAGAAATTGAAAGACTTTGTGGCCACTCATCCAGCCCTGCAAAAGATACTTAAAGATGTGCTACACTCAGAAACACAGAAACACGGCCATCAATATGAAAGAAGGGAAAGGAAGAACACCTACCAATAAAAGAGCATGGGAAGCTCAAAGCATATACTAGAAAATATTTCTGGGAAAATGGCAGGGCAAAGTCACTACGTATCAATAGTCACATTGAACATTAATGGTCTGAATTCTTCAGTTAAAAGACACCGTTTGGCTGACTGGCTCAAAGAACACAACCCAACTATTTGTTGCCTACAAGAAACACAAACAAAGAGGCACACAGACTGAAAGTGAAAGGTTGGAAAAAGATATTCCATGCCAACAAAAACCAAAAAAAAAGCAGGTGTAGCCATATTAATATCAGACAAAATAAACTTTAATACAAAAACTGTTAAGAGAGACAAAGAGGGACACTATATAATGATTAAGGGTTCAATTCAACAGGAAGATGTAACTATTATAAATGTATATGCACCTAATTAAAGGGCACCGGTCTATTTAAAAGATATGTTAAGGGACTTAAAGGGAGATTTAGATTCCAATACAATAGTACTAGGGGACTTCAATACTCCACTCTCAGAAATAGACAGATCAATAGGACAGAAGATCAACAAGGAAACAGCAGATTAAATTGACACTATTGCCCAAATGGATCTAACAGATATCTACAGAA